TCCTTGGTACAAGTATAAGTGCTTACCATGTGTTATTTCATTGAATCCTCATAATAACATTATAAATCAAATGGAATTATTATTACCATTCTATAGATGTGGAAAGTGAGGTCAACATGACTTAAATTAATTACTCAAAATGATTCAAACAAATAACTGGGGACTTCAAAGCCTGACTTAAATATTATCTCTCAATTTTGACAAATTTGGTGTAAATTTTATCTTAAGATATTATTGTAGTTAAGTGCCTTCCAGTCACTTCTGATTCACAGCGACCCTGTATAGGGTTTCTGAGGGGCGGTGGGTAATTTAGGTCTACCAACCTTGTGGTTAACAATCCAGTGCCTATTCTATAGCACCAAACCAGGGCCCCACGAGGAAGATGTTGCCGTTAAGTGCCATCGACTTGATTTAGACTTACAGCGACCCTGTATAGGCTTGAGGAGCAACTGATTAATTTAAACCACCAACCTTGCAGTTTAAAAAGATCTTGTGGTCCAATGCTTATCCTACAGCACCACACCAGAATATGAGGAAGATAGTTTGACAATTGTAAGCAAGATTAACTACAGCAACAGGACTGAGATGAAGTATCATAATATATAAAAAAATGCTCTCATTTTTGTCAATTTGTAGTTAAGATTTTGAACTGGCGTTCTTTTAAGCAAAGTGCCATATCAGTGCTTTGTGCTTTTTGTGCAAAAGCATGTGTTTGTGTTTATATACATGAATATTTGTATATGTATGAGGAAGAGAATTAGAGAGGACAAGAGGAAGAATTTTTAAAAAAATTAATATTCTTGTACTAAGTCTAGATTATAATAAATACAACAGGTCACTGAGGTACCATAGCATCACTGTTGATTGGTGGTGGTGTGTTGTGGAGTCAACTCTGACTCACAGGAACCCTTTATAGTGTTTCCGAAGCTGTGAGTCTTTACAGGAGCAAAAAGCCTCATCTCTCTCTGGTGGAACAGCTCACAGTTTTGAAACACAGACGTTGAGGTTAGCAGCCCGACTCACAGACACTACATTTCGGAGCTCTGTTGACTGGGAGAGTTAAAAAGCTATGTGTCTCAACTCTGCCATTTTTTTTTTTTTTCTTTTGTGGAAAATGGCATTGGACACTTTCCATCTCTGTGTCTTATTCTAGTTTGTTGCTCACCATTAAAATGAATATTTCAAGTGGGCCTATAATAGACTTATTAGTCCATACCAAGTTCTATATGACGTGTGCACTTTAAGAGGTTAATTGAGGCAGCCAGTTCACTTTGTTCAGAAGTATGAACTAGAAAGCCTGCAGTATTCAAAGAAAGGCCAACTTCACTAGACAAGACCTTGGTAATTTAATGGAGCATAAAACCTCTAGAGTTTTTTTTACAATAATATTTTATGAAACATATGCACACATTCATTGGAACAGAATCCCATTTAACTGGTTTTGAAGGTCAGTTCACAGTGATCACATATGCAGCATCTCTGTGGGAAATATGTGCTACTGGACCCAGAAGCTCCTATTCCCTATTTCATAGTTTATTATCAGTAGAGCAAAGTTCTTTAGAAAGAAATAAAAGGTATCCACTACAGTATGCATTTTTTAATTCCAGCCAAAGTGTAAGATTTAGTAAGATATTCCAAAATTCATTAACACATTCTTATCTTGGGAAACAAAAGGACTCACAGAGTTTAATTCTAGAAAGAACTGTTTCTTTAAAGGTGCACGATAAATATAAAAAGTAAAACACAATTATTTATCCTCAACTTCATGACCAGTTTACTAAAGGAACACTGGATTTTTCAATGCCTACTTTCTTTTAAAGGAAAAGTGAATTTGGAAAGGGCATGATTAGAGCCAACAATTTGTAATATGCAGATGTTTTAAAAATGCCCAATTCTAGGAGCCACTATGATTCTCCTAAGGGGAAGGAAGTAAATGTCCACTTTGCATGACAAAGGTCAGATTTCTGCAGGCAAATGAGACTTCTGTAGATGACCGGTCCAGGATTGTCCCTGTCTGGCTGATCCCAAAAGGTCAAGAAAGTCTTCAAATAGTACTCACTGCTTAAGGGACAGCCCTGGGGCCACTTCAATCAATTTAAGGTCATTAAGACTTCTCTTGCTCTGGTTTCAACTTTACTCTCTTAAATTTTGCTAATACATATTGACAATTTAGTGCTGATGTATGTTAAAAAGAAACTAAATGTATTTAGTATTATATGCAGAACAAATAAAAAATTCATTCATTAAACAAACTCTTTTAAATCTAAAACCAATTTCAATGGAATCAAGTAGACAAAAGAGACTGATAATCTAGCCCCAACAGAAAGCATGACACTAAAATAACTATACTGACCTGATTTTCCATTATATGATCAACGACATTATTCTAGTTTTCATTAGATATGACAAAGCTTTACAAAAAAGGCTATCTTAAACAATTTTCCCAGTTATAACACATAGTTTATTATGATAAAATTGTGTTTACTTTTTTGGTAATGACTACTGAGTCACTAAAATACAACAAATGCTGAGGCAAAAATTATTTGATTATATTTCAATAGTCATCTGTTTAATGCAAATATATATATATATATATTAAACTTTCTCACAATAGAAGGGGATATATACCAAATGGATTCTATTTATAACAGTTGGAAGAGTTCCATCTTTTTGAATTAATGAAAGGTATCTTTAAGTATTTTAGATAATGTGTAGAAAACATCTGTATTTAATTATATCATATTTTCTTTTACAGACAATGGGAATTGAATTAAGGAATACTTTGAAACTCCCACAGAGATATAAATGTATTAAGGGGTATTCAAGAACTGTATCACTACAATGCTTAACAATGTTCAGTATTACAAATCAACAGTCTGAAGTTCATAAATATAAGATTTTGAATGTTAAATGTTATAAAATGAAACATTGAGCAAATACAGATTATTCTACTATAAAAGATCAAGAGTATGTCTTTTCATTATTATTAAATATCTTATAAACAAGCACAGAGAATCTGAATGAGAGGCTGGAATATATATTCTGAGATGGATCCCTCTCAGAATTTTGTTATAGACTGAGTGTTTCTAAGAGACTAGACTGAGCTTGCCATTCAATTTTTATAAAGAAAAACCCTAAATTGCTCTCAAGAAAACAGTAGGACACAAAGCAAGGGTTGTTAGGGCTTGATAGAAGCTTCAAGAATTCCTATTGAGTAAATCAGCAAGGAAAGACACTCCAACTAATGGAAAAAATCATTCCATGAGCTGCCATCCCAAACTCTGGTATACTGGGTCCAAATGACACTTGTTTTCAAGGTCAGTATCAGTTCTGCAGTCAGTTTTCAATCTCCCAGTGGTAAAAATATATTTAAAGCTGTGTGCACAGCAGGGAAGAAGCCTTTCTCTGTGAATGTAACTGTATCACTCATCGGCAGCCTTCAGCCACAAGGGGACTCATGTTTTCTTTCCTGTTAGTGACTCCTTGAGCTCTTGAATGCCACTCAATGTCCTGAGACCTGGGACACATAGTCTCCGTCAATAGGTCCTACACATACCACTGGTGGAACTAAATGTTCAGGCTGCAGATCAAAGTCACCATGGTCTAAACCTCACCTCCTTCATGGATCCATTTTCATAAGCTATACTCCATGCTTTAGAAATATATAGATGCTCATTTTTTAATCCCAGAGTTTATTTATACAAGGCAGTCTGACTTACAAATAATAATGTAATGTTCTGATGTGGCACATAAAAGTCAAACATTCTTCCTTTTGCCTAGCTTCTATTAAAATATAATATCACTATACCTATCATTTTATATTAGAAATGCAAAAAAACTTTAGGCTATTAAAATAGAATGATACAGAGTACTTTGCAATACTTGACCATTCTTCCATAGTGCCTGACACAATTCAAACGAGATGATTGATAATAAATTCTTACTCATGATTGATTTTATTTTTAGAGCTTCATTATGCTACAGGTAAATTATATGACAGAAAATAGCTTCAGCATGTGTTTTTACATTCTATATTCATTTTAATTACCCAAAATTACTTGGGGGGATGAATATAATTATTTGAGAGCATTTTGCTCTGTAGATTTCATATACAAATTACATAGATCTTCAGATAGATCTGAATAAAATATAATGGACAAACTATCTTGTCTGAATACTTTTCATATCAACTGTAGATATAAAAATTTACAACGATCTCTAACTAATTATATTTGGTTAACACCATAAGATTTAGACTGGAATGTACAAAAATGCTATCTATGCTTTAGATACAATTTAAATATATTTATTATGGTGGTAAGAGCATATGGCATATTAAATACACACAGATCAAAGCGCGTAGAAAGGAGAAGGTGGGAAAACAGGGACAGGCCTGAGAGTTACAGGCCTACTTGCTAATTCCCAAATAGAAACTTTCTTGTCCCAGTTACTTTAAGCAGATTTTAATATGACAATATGACTACAGAGACTTTACTATGAGTTCTCCTGTAATCTGGGAGACATTAGGCATGTCACTTATTCGAAAGTACAAAGTCCTGGCCTTAACTGTTTTTACTACTTAATTAAATTTTAGGTTTTTTTTTTTTTTTAAATGACTGTGACAAAAATAAGTTTATCATTCTCACTTTTGTAATAAATGGATAAGGTTCAGCAGAAAATGTGAAGAATGAAGGAAATTACAGAGGTCTTATTAATGGAGGTTTAAATTTTCCAAGAAATTGTTTTACTGCTAATAAGGTAAGATTTTTTTCCCCAAAAAAATTCATATGATAAATTTTGAGATTTAAAAAGGTAATCTGGTTATGCAGTAACCAACAGAAATAGGTATGTACATGTATATGTATGTGCACATATGTGTTTATACTGAGAAGGAACAGGCAGAGCATAAAATCCTCTGGTTTTCCTCTAGAGGTATGCAAAGTAAAATTCCAAGTATGTTATGGGAGAGCAAGTGGAATCTTCTGGTTAAACAAACTTACCAGTTTTTCGAAGAGGGAAATCATCCTTGGCATCTTGTGTTCCTGGCAAAGTATATTTGTAGGATGGCGACGTTCCACTCAAGGGTGGAGAGCTTTGATCCAATGATGTGTGGTGGGCAGCCCTACAATAAAGACAAAGCGGGCTCACCATTTACACTGGAGACTTCACTGCATCTTGGTCAGCAATAATCAGTATCACATGCTGTACACGTGTCTCAGCTGTGTTTATGTTCCTTCTTCTGAGTGTGTACAAACCATGGCCTCATGTAACCAAGTTCACTTTAGCAATATTCTACGGAATGATGCAGGATTCTCAAGAATGCATGCTGTGTGTTTATTCACATAGAAAAGCTAACTTCACTGAATTATATGTGTAGTACATGGAAGGAGAGAACTTACTAAGAACCTGAGGTTTTGTTAATTTGAGATTGTGTGTGTATTTTTTAAGAGCAAAACTAGTGCAGGAAATTACCATCTCAATTGTTTAAGCAACAAATTTTCGCAAATTACTTAGGTACAATAGAGTATATGAGGGTGGCTTTTTAATTGAAGAGAAACGATCATGTGGTGAACCTCATGTCTCCCAATTAATACAGTACCTGCTTATATAAAGAATACTGATCATACACTGCTTTAAAATGTAACTGATTAGTAAGAATGTATTTCCATTCCTGGGTGAATACAGAGATATGTGATTGTGCTACTGAAGACCTGTGCATTGTCCCTTTATAGGAATGGAGGAAATATGGTTGCACAAAAATGGTAGTATAAGTGTTATCAAGAAGCCCTGGGGTAAGCACTGTATGGAAAGATGAGGTGGGTTGGGTTTAACAAGATCTATTTTATTACCTCCCTATCTTTCCTTCCCTCTTATGCTTTCTTTCCTTATTTATTTATTTTTTAATGAGTCAAAAATACTTTGGACTTTTAAAAATAGCTCAGAACCTCTGCCATCTTTTTATCAAGCCAAGTATGATAAAATCCCACTCTGCCAAATTTCAGAAATTATTGTAAAGATATCAGATGTACCATCTGAGAATATGAAAATGTGAACTAGGAATTAATTTCATCTACGCCTACCTCACCATGTGTCATTTATTCCTTCCACACAAAAAAGTATCTACTTCCTTGAATTCAAGACAACAATTGCCAGCATTTATTAAGCCCTGCTCAATGTTAAGCATTCTACTACGTTACTTCAAGAGATTATCTCAGTAACCCTTCAGGAGAGATACTACTTTTATCTTCTTTTTTAATTTAACTAAAGGAAACTGAGCTCTAGGAGCTTGTCCTCAGGAATGTGCCCACAGCCACCCAGCTGAGAACTGGGAGGCTCAGGATTTGTGCCCAGGCCAGCTAAACACAAAACCTACACTCTTTAACTACCCCTAGGAATGAAAACAACAAACACTGAACATACGTGTACCAGAGTTTGGGATGGCGGCTCACGGAATGATTTTTTCCATTAGTTGGAGTGTCTTTTGTTGCTGATTTACTCAATAGGAATTCTTGAAGCTTCTGCTTTACTTCTGTACTTGCCACTGCCCCTGAAACACACACACAGAAAAACAGATGATGATTGTGAGTTTTTGACTTTAGAATATTTACCAAAGATTAAGAAGTAACATCCCTGGTTGTGGCCTAGGAAGCTGACCTAAAAAGAACACAGCTGGCTGAAGAAATCAGTCTAAACAGGCTTTAGAAATTGGCATGGAACTGTTTGCCACTCTTCTCCAAAGTGCCAAATCTCAAGACATTCAGTGATTTGTTTAATTGCTTCAGAAAGGGGATTCCCAGAATTAATTTTAATTATTTTCTAAGTTTTAAAAAAATACTGCTAAGGAAAAAGTAAAGCCCTGTTGTGTTTTTTTCCCTCAAAAAATCAAGGCTATGTAAGTCCCTGAACCACATAAAAATGATCTTTTCTGAACTGTTAGTTTGAAAGCCGTACCTTTATAAACCCCTTTGAGCATTAAACCAATAAATATTGCTGACAATTCCAGTTCAAGTCATCAAATTTTAAACTCTGCCACGACCTGATTTTGAACTGACCTCATATAAAATAATTATTTGTATCTGTCTCCCTCTTGTGGATAGTTCTTTTGCAAGTGTTCTGCCTTAAATCTCCTCAAAGCCTCAGTACTTAGAAGCTAAACGGAAGCAAGGCTAGACTTCCAAAGCAATTATTACTTGAGCATGGATGTAGAAATAAGAAGGAAAAAATGTGGAAGTAACTTTATTGTTAAACAGAATGGACTATAGTAGATTTCTTTAGTATAACATGGTTTTTGAGGTTTGAAACAACAGAAATAAGCATCTTTGCCAAACAATGTTATGTTTACATCTTGAGATGCCTGCATGTGAATGTCAAAGCTTTACGTTCATGTCTATAGTGTGTTGTTTATTCTGTTAATTAAATACAGACAAGTTTGACAAGTTTCATTTCACTCTTCATCAGGCTTCTTTCTGAATGATCAGCTAAAGATGAGGGAAGGGAATCTGTCTTTTACCCTGGTGCCTCTTACTTTCTCGTCCTCTATCTTTGCCTCTGAGAGGAGGAAGCTGTTCTCTTCGATGCCTCTCTACTTCCTGTTCTTGCCTCTGCTGCTCCAGTTTCTGCTCCTTTTCTAGGAGTTCTTGCTGCTGTTTTATGGCTAGAAGTTCCTGTTGCAACTTGCGAGAAGAGAAAGACATGAGAGTGTGCAATATTTTTACACTGCATAGTTAATCACTGACAATTCATGTTATGAGCTTTGGGATCTTGTTTGTATTTAGTTTGTATTGTTACCCACTCATTTCAGGAAACTCTTGAAACTTAACGACAAGCAATAATGCCACATGTGGCCCTCAAGTAATCAACAAAACAGTTTTTAGGTAGCTCCATTATCTGTACCACCTTATCAAAGATTATTACCACATTCACTCAGGCTCTTTAGTTTTTATTGGTTAATTCTTTAAGTCCCTTTATTACTTTTGGGGTAGTGGGGCGCATCTGAAATGGAATCAACAGGCAAAGGCAGGGACCTTCCAGAAATCTGTTTCTCACAGTCTCTCGCATTATGAAATCAACAAAACTAAAACTTTCGATTCTTCTCCTGAAAAGGATCAAATCAACTACAGTTGGGAGATCTGAGTTAACTGTTAGAAAGCCTAAAACAGAAAGAATGGTATGAATTTTGAAACCTTACAGAGGAAGATCACAACAGACTGATGTAATGTATAATCATATATGTGTTCTTCTACTTAATAGTCATAGTCTAGTTCATTCATCAAAGACATAAAAACCTTTCGATTAAAGACCATGGTCAAGAAAAAAATCACTTCCATAAAACTAATCTTTAATTCACTATTGATTGAAAGCCCTTAAATTCACTTCAAAATCAATAATATAAGAGCATAAGGCATTCCTAATACCTATCTTGATACATTAGTTTCCTCTCAGATTAAGAAATGGACATTTTTTAAAAAGAGCAATGTGGTTACAAATTAATAACTTAAGATTTTAGGTTCTAATTAGGCCATGACATTACAAATAAGATCAGAGTTTATTAAGCTACTTAGCGCTGTATTTTCTGATTAAAACTATACTAATGCAATTAATAGAAGCCTGGTGTGGCACTGTGGATTAATGTACTGGACTACAATGGCTGTTTAAACTGCAAGGTCGGCAGTTCAAGCTCAGCAGATGCTCCTTGGAAACCCTATACATGGTCCCTATGGGTTGGAACCGACTTGATGGCATGCAACAACAACAACAATGCAATTAATATAACTTGTTGTTTATATTAAATGTTGTTGCTATTGTTAAGTGCCGTTGAGTTGGTTCTGACTTATAGTGACCCTGTATAGGGTTTCTGAGGAGCAGTTGGTGAGTTTGAAATGAACCATCTAAAATCCTGAATTTTACTTGGTAAATGTATTGCTGCAATGGTAAATTGCTGGCAAGTTGATTTTAACTCCTGGTGACCCCATGTATACAGAGCAGAACTCTGCTTCTTAGAGTTTTCAAAAATAGATTGCCAAACCTGTATTCCAGGTGGGTTTGAAAAATCAACGTTTTGACTAGTCCTTGAATGCTTAACTATTTGCATCATCCAGGGACTCAAAAGCCATGTGAAATGGCAGCAGATTCACCCTGGAACAACAGAAAGCCAACTTTATATGCTAACCATAATAGCTCCCACCAACTCCATTTCTTGTTACACTTCTTTGGCAATTTTACTTGGATACTGTAGTCCCTTAATGAATATTTTTAGATATTCCTTTGTAAAAGAAGAATTTGCAAGTCTGTTTAACTCTGCCATAAATATTAATTCTGTACAGAAATTGGTCTTGGTCAAATTGATTCAGTGTTTTATCCAAGGCCCCAAGATGACTGAATTGTGATTTCTCCTAGAAGCCTACAAAAGAAAGCAATTTCATTTCCATAGTTACTATCTATTGCTGGAATCGAGTTAAAAATAAATAAGAACAAACAAAACTTTACTCTTCTTTTTCCAGATACTGTAGCTCAGAAGAGACAATGACTGAGTATTAGCTTTGGAGGAAGGCAAGGCAAGACTAGAAATTCCTCTGCAACCTCTTACTAGCTGTGTGGCCTTGGGCAACTTACATTATTTCTCCCTGTCTCAGCTTACTAGATGAAAAAATGGGATAACAGCATCTGACTCAACAGATGTTGATTATAGAAGCCAAAGATTGAAAAACCATACACTGTGACTTCTCTTAAAAATAAAATTCCAATAAATGCTAAAAGCTTCAACTTTCAGTCCTGACCATTAGAAAACAAAACAAAAATTTTGAAAAGTAAAAAAATGTCCTACTTTTGAAAGAAAAAAATTAAGTATGTGTTTTGTTTCTGAGAAAATAATTTATTAGTTTGAAAAATAATTTTAAAAGCTAAATTTTTCTTTTAGCTACCTCAGATTCCTTTTTGCTTCAAGTGCCTTTTTTCAATATTTTCCAGATGTCAATAAATCATATACCACTTTATTTATGCTAAAGGAATAATTAATTACCTACTTACTACTAATAATTTTTCATTAAAATCAAGCAACAAATCACATTTTTTAAATGTTATTTCTGTATACATCAATAAAAAGCATCCAATTGAAATGAAAAGTATCTAAAGCAGTAACTTCTCAGTATATCTCTGAAGCCATGAAAATATGACTCAGCATACAAACGCAAAATGGTTTCTTAAACCTTAAAGTCTGAAGAAGAATATAAATTTTGCTGATTCATCACTGCCAACTTAATGGGCCTAGAAGGAATATAAAAGGAGAACTAGATATCATTGTTTCTGTTATTATATCAAAGGTCAAACTGAAATAATACTACAGCATTCATTCAAAAATAAGTCAATAAGTTAAATGATATTAATTCATAATACAAAATATAGCCATGAGCTACTGGTTTCACAGAGGAGCTCCTTTCTCTTCTTTTAAAGATATCTGGTGGTGGTGTTTGTGTGCTGTCTAGTCTATAACATGAGCAACCCTATGCATTTTTTTTCAGGTTGTAAATCTTCATGGGAGCAGAAAGCCTCATCTTCCTCCTGAACAGTGGCTATAGAATTTTAACTGCTGACCTTACAGTTAATAGCCCAACTCAGAACCCACTTTATGGTACCAGGGTAGATCAATAAAATGCAAGACATATTTGGGTAAAGTTTACTTGTTAAAGAGAAATAAATAGGTAAAGAACCTTTTTAGGAAAATAAGAGAAAATAGGCCTTTCAGGATAAGGAAATATCTTATAAAACAAGAAACCCAGGGAATAAGATAGTATTTTTAGCTTGATACTAAGATAAAAGTACATAATAGTAATCCAGATTAATTATCTATACTAGTATTAAAGGACTAGATCAAATGTACATAAAATGGAATTTTATATTATAAATATTTGGTGTTTTATCTGCTGTTGCTACCATAATAAATTTAATCTACATATGTACTGAACTTGACCAAAATATCCTTGTTATTCCTTCTTTTTAATGAAGAAGTTGAAAGACATTTTACAACTAACGATATAGCGACCCTTACTCTGGATATACAAGATAATAAAATAGATACATGGATACATATAAAATAATCTAAAAATAAAATAGATCATTATACCAAAAAAAAACCCACCATTCTTTTTCTGTGACATGAGCTGATTTCTCACTGAGAATATCAAACTGCCAAACACTTTTCAAATTATTTGGCTCAATTCTTATTTACAGTCTATTGTTGTTGTTGTTAAGTGCCATTGAGTCGGTTCTTACCCATAGCAACCCCGTATAGGGTTTCTGAGGAGACTGGTGAGCTTGAACCACCGACTTTGCAGTTCAAATGGCTTTGCAGTCTAGCACATTAACCCATAGCACCACAAACTCATATAAACAACACTGAGAATATCGACACCAGTTTCTTCCTATTGAACTCCATTGATATTTTTATATGCAACTATTGTAAGTACACATTCTGAGGTGTCTTTCTGAAAAGAATAATAGGATATACTCAGAACCTCTATTTATAGATGAGGGTTTCAAAACCATTCAGTTAAGACTGATGAAACATGGCAGTGCATACATTGCATAACAACCAAATCTCTTGCCTTATGGGGCAGATTTTCATTACAGCAGGAAACAAGCAGTGGTGTGCTCTCCAAGATGGTTGCCAACAGTGCTGCTTTGAATGCATGTCACCATCTTTGAATGCAGACCACCATCTTTGAATGGGAGACCGCTGCCTAGTTCTAGTCAGGTCAATATCCCACATGAAAGAGATCTGGTTGCTAGTCAATGCATACACTGCCCTTGCCTTCATTGGCCAAAATTGCTTCAAACCAGTTTGAAGCTCAGTTGCACCCAAAAAGACTTAAAAACAAAAACAAAACCCTATTTCTACACATAAAGTCAGTAATCTATTCTTTCTGACAAATTGATTCATGGTTGTTCGTGAGGAAGAGTAACTGAGGGAAGTGAACAAAATCAGGCAGAAGAAAATCTATAGAGTAAGTGAGTGAGTGAGAAGTTACTATTCCCTACTACTGATGCTATGAACTTAAAGGGTACAAAAGTGGTACAGATCCCTGCGTGAATCAAAGCATCCTCACTACTTACCCATGGTTTTCACAGGTACAATCACAATGTCATTCAAACAATAAACCCATGTCTTAATCACAGCAAAACTTTTCCCCGAGCTCCATCATAAGCCCTAACACAGTGCAGACCACCTGGAAAAGGACAGAGAGAAAGAAACATTTGCTACCTTGATGTGCTCTTGAAGCTGAGCCTGGTGTTGCCGAGTCAAGTTCTCATGCTGCTTCTGAAATTCTGCTATCAGGAGCTGCTTCTGGATCTGCTGCTGTTGCTGGATGAGGAGTAACTCCTGTTGCAGTTGCTTCTCACGGACCACAGGGTCTACCACGGGCATCATCATCCTGAGATCGGTCCTTAGGTCTAAAGGCGAGATGGGCTCCAGGCCCACAGGAACCTCTGACTTCACATCCACTGGAGAAACAGAAATCAAAGAAAGGGAAAATTAGCACATTGTTGTGGAAATAATATAAACAACAACAAAAAAAATAGCACCTTGAAAAATAAATGTTAAGCAAATGATTCTAGTCATGTCTTTACAATAATGATAAATTTTTTTTTTGCATATCAGTTCTGATAAATCAGACACATGCCAGATCTCACTCAACAATTTGCCACATATCTTCCATATTTCTCTTTCTCAAAGAGATGATTGCAATTATTCATTGTTACCACTGTTGCCCATAATACTAATTCTACTTCAATCAACCACACGGCTGGTAGATTTGAACTGTTGATCTTGTGTGGTTAGAGGCCCAATTTGTAATCCACTGTGCTACAGGATCATTCTGTAGTTGTTGCTAAGTGCCTGCTAGTCAATTCCGACTCATAGAGTGAGTCAATGAGTGAGTGAGAAGGGGACAGGGTTTCCATGGAAAAGTTGGCAAAATTGCAGTTAACAGACCAGTGCTTATCCTATAGCACTACATCAGGATTCCAGATCACCCTTGTTATTGTTATGTGCCATCAAGTCAATTCCTATTTATAGCAAACCCTGTTACAGGGCTTCTGAGGAAAAGATGGTTTGAACCACCAATGTTATTATGCTACAGTGCCACAGCAGGAGTCCCCAGATCACCTTAGTTTTTAAGTAATATGACCCTTGCCCACATAAATCAGATATTTTATGTAACTGAGTTTAAGACAACTGGGGATTTTGGAGAAACTCCAGTGAATTATATTCCATGTCGCTTCCAAGAGGGTCAGCCACCACTCAGATCCAACCAATTATTGACAAAATAAATACAGATCCTGATGCAGACAGAAGTCACTCAATTTTTAATGGAAATAAATTAAAAAGATCAAATACTCTGGGAAAGGATAAAGTGCTTCTGTAAACCAACGTTGACATGTAAGCTGCCAGGTTTCAACCTCTGCTCTAACACTCAATGTCTGTTCTCTTTCTTCTCCAAGTGTTATTCTGGTATATCTGTTAACCTCTCTAGGTCTTAGTTAAGTCTTGTGTAAAATGGGAATAATGATAATAACAGTAACAAGATAGAGTTGTTAAAGGATTAAAGGCACATTCATCTTTCAATAAATGTTTGTTGTTGTTATTGTTCTTATCATACAAAAATGGAAATTTCTGTATATTAAAAGAAATAATCCAACACTAAAAGAGAAGAACCCCAATTCACTGCCATTGAGCCGATTCTGACTCAGAGCAGCCCTACTTAGGGTTTCTGAGACTGTAAATCCTGGATAAGACCGTCTCATCATTCTCCCTCGGAGCCCACATTATGACTAGCACCCCAGTGCTATCACACAGTGCCACCAGACCAAATCAGAAAACAAATGGCATATGATTTCCATTAAACATTAAAAAATAAAAGCACTGACAGTTATAGACAAAAATAGGATATAACTAAAAAACTCATAAAAATTACACTTACTAGGTAAAAACAGAATTATAATAACAGATAATGGAATTTTTCCACAAACTTTTCGAAGTCCCCTTATGTCCATTTTCTACGAGCTTTTTGAAACCCCTTTGTATATATAATTCATGTATATGTGTGTATGTGTGCATAACAATGTCCCAATGTGTAGGTACAGCATTTGGCCAAACAGACAATACGAAACTGCAAGTAGCACTGTCATTTGGCACATAAGTTCTGAAAAACAATTTGGTGACATGAATTGTTGTTGTTAAGTGCCTTCAAGTCAGTTCTGACTCACAGCGTTTCCAAGAAGTGGCTGGTGGGTTTGAACCGCTGGCCTTATGGTTAACAGTTCAGTGCATATCCTACAGCACAACATCAGGGGTCTGGTGATATGAATTGTTGTTGTGGTTGCTAAGTGTTGTTGAGTTAATTCCAACCCATAGCGACCCTGTATAGGATTTCTGAGGAGCGGCTGGTAAGTTTGAACCACCAACTTTGTGGTTCAAACCGACCTTGCAGTCCAGTGCACTAGCCCACAGCACCACAAGAGGTTTTAAATCTTCTCCCCTCTGATCGAGGTTAGCCAACTCTAGGAATATATCTTAAAGAAAAAAATATGAATATGGGGGGAAGGGGGAAGAAGGAAGCAGAGAAAACCCAGCTCAATGCTATATTGTTTAATAGATTTGTTATTATTAATATCTAAATCCCCAGCTACAAGGTAAATGAAATATGTCACATCCATTTTGTGAGAAAATAGGCAATTGTTAAAAATAACATTGTGGAAACATGAAATATGCTGTTATAATACTAAGTTGCCAGCAGCAATAAAAGTGACAAATACCCTATAACTCTTTAAAATAAATAAATATAACTTGGTGGTGGTAGTTGTGTGCCACTGAGTTGGTTCTCACTCAACTGACCCTAATAGGGTTCCCAAGGCTGTAAATCTTTAAGGGAGCAGAAAGTCTTCTCTTTCTCCCATGAACTGACTGATAAATTTGAACAATTGACCTTACAGTTAGCAGCCAAGCTAGTAATCCACTATGCTACCTGAATCAATATACATTTATTGAGCACCTTTAAGTGTCAGACATGGCTCCCAACGGAGGTTCAGGAGTTAACAAAAGAGACAAAAGTTAACAAAATATTCCAATCTTCACTGAGCATCTACAATTATTGTAGTGGGAGTTTCAATTATGTTTCTGAATTCTGATAGCAAAGACTGGTGACACAGATATGTTGGTTGTGTTTCTAGTGGAAATGTGGATGTTTTATCTCTTTTATTACACTTATTTTTACAAATTGCATCTATGTTCTACTACTGTAAGTAAGAGTTTCATATAAATTTAAAACAGATTTCGATTTCTGGATTCCAGGCGGGAACTACAAATTAATATTCCATGTAGATGTTAAAGCTACCTCGGCAATTCAAGAAAGCGTAACAGAATTCTATTCATAGATGTAAAGGCAACAAATACTAAAGAAAACATTAAATGTTCTTGCTTGTCATTTGAATGTGTATATGTGTGTTCATGTGAATAGTCTGGAATCAATCTTGAAGTGCTACTTATTCAATGACGCGATCACCAATGATTCTACATTTGTCATAATCGTTGTAATCTTTTGAATTGAAAGAAAACAGAAGTATGGTAAAATGTAGTTTTGAGAACAGTGTCTCTTAAAACATTGTATCTGTGTAAGAAAAGACATTAATTATGACAAGTTTGAAAACAATTTGAAGATGTTGGCCTGTAAGATCTCTTTAAATATTCAATGTAGAATCTTCAATCAGGGGTGAAGAGTAACATGAGAATCTGAACTTTAAAGTTGTCATAATTTCAACTGTTAATAATATATTATATTTTACATTACAAAGGCTAAATTGATAGTCTCCAAATTTGACATGGAAATGTCAATAAACAAAGGTCAGAATTTAACACTTTAAATACAAAATGGAAAATGTCTTAAGAACTCTAAGGTCTTGCTGGCATTACTATCTATAAAAGATAAATATCAAACCTTTAAAAGAAAAGTTAAATAAAAAATGTAAGAAAAACAAAAAAATCTCTGAAAAAGTTAGTGTACACCTCAAAGGGTAATTTGACTTCTTAACCTGCTATCCCAACAGAAATGATTGTGTATAACTGCTTGCCTTTGTTCAGGGACTAATCACTAAATTGTGAAAAATCACCCTCAACTTACAAAAACTGCTCTTGATTATAAATAATTGCCCCAGACTGAGAGAAAGCGGCAGGCAAGATCCCAGTCTTTCATCCAATTTATTCAGCAGCAATCCACATTCCATTTGTCTAGACTAAATATAGCAGCGTTTATACAAGAAATCAATAGTGCTTGCAGAGAGGAGAGCAGAGGCATGAATATTTCATCAAACTCAGAGAGAAATGGCAATCAGCAAACTGATGGTTCTGTGTAGGTCATCTCTAGACTGTTGGATGAGCTCCTTTAACTTGGACAATAGCTCATCTCTGGTTAATCATAATCATATCATAGCCATTCTTTCTATTTTTAATACTAATTGCATTGTGGGTGACAAAAGCTCATCATATTCCAAAAGGAATGATGGATTTTTCTTACATCTTCTGTGACAGGCTAATACGCCTCCCCAGGAGAAATAATAGTAACACAATACCAGGGCTGAGTTTCAACACGTTCCAGTCACTCTTATATCACAGAATGTGAAAGAAAGGCCATTGTCCACAGCTGCCATATTATCATAATTAGAATAATGAATTTACAATGAAAAAAAATAACCACTGGCTTAACAGTGAGGAAATGAAATCACCCCTGTCCACACCATTCCTTGTCTAAGGACATGCAAATTCCTCTTAAATTACTTTGAATGGGTGGGCAGTGATACATAGGTTAAAAAGAAGTTAATGACAACAAATATTAGTGACAGCATCAGTTACAAATGAATCATGTTTTTAAATGAATCTTCAGATCTTATGGGAAGTGTGAGGAAAGAGCATGACACCCTCATTTTTAAATTTGGATTCACCTTGTTTTCCAGAGATTACAAATTCAGATGTACATGCTGTTGTTGTTAGGTTTCAACCAGTCAGTTCTGACTCATAGCAACTCTATGAACACTGCCCAGTCCTACGCCACCTTCACAATAGTCTTCATGCTTGAGCCCATGTCTGCTGCCAATATGCCAATCCATCTCATTGGGGGTCTTGCTCCTTTCTCACTGACTCTCTACTTTATCAAGCATCATGTACTTCTCCAAGGACTGGTCCTTCCTGATAATATGTCCCAAGTATGAGAGATGAAATCTCACCATCCTGGCCTCCAAGGAGCATTGTGACTGTATTTCCTCCAACACAGATTTGTTTGTTCTTCTAGCAGTCCATGGTACTTTCAATATTCTTCTCTAATATCATAACTCAAATCATAACTCCAATATCATAACTCTATCGTCTTCCTTATTCATTGTCTAAATTTCACATGCATATAATACATATAAGGAGCTCTGGTAGCATAGTGGTTACGAATCACGCTGCTAAC